AAATCACAAATAATACTACTGATGATAAAGAACGGAGTGAATGTTAACCACTTTCTTTTCCATATAACTATAAACTATGATAAAAGTTAATCAGCATGCATTGAATAATCCCATGTTGTAGCGCAAAAAAAATAAATAAAATATTGCGACCAAATCATGTGCTCGTGCGACCAGCTGAGAAAGCTAGTTGCAAAAGAGTCTGGAGCCCTGTATACAGTGCATGAAAAGCAAACTGGTGCTCTTCGGTTTCTTTTGGTGTATGACTCCCCCTTGTGTCGTAAAGCACAATAATCGCGGTTGTCTGAAACAACACTTACTTCATATAAAAAAAAAAGAAAAAAAAATTATATTTAAAAACTTACATTATAATATATAAAATACATATAATAAAAAAATTTAATAGCTTATTAAAACATATTATAAATCATGTTATTTAAAAAATATACATTTACTGTATTTTTTACCAGGCAGAGAGGTCACTGCCACCGTCTGCTGCTGCTTCAGATTGTTCACAAACTCCTCGTGCTGGGTCTTCAGCACCTGGATCTGCTGCTGGAAGGCCATCTGGACGGGCTGCACCACCGGCGTGTACTCCGTGATGAGCAACGCCTGGACCAGACACAACAGATACAGGATGAGAAACACATCCTCCAGATTTAACGAGAAAACAAACACTGACAGCACGAGCTGCACCTGATACTGTCCGAGGCCCAGAGCCGGACTCTGAAGCTGCTGAATGGTGACGTCGTCAAAGTAACCGTTCTTCTCCCAGAGCAGCAGCAGCTGAAAACATGAAGAGCAACGGCTCGTTTTTCCTGCTACAAGTCAAATTGACACCATAGTGAAGCTGCAAATAGGAAGAAATGGGGATGGATGATCTTACGCGGGTGATTTTCTGCTGCTTGTCTTCCTCTACAGCCAGGAAACTGGTGCAGTAAATGGGAACCACGACCTTCTGTAGAGCCGCCAAAAGATCCCTCTGATTTTTCCTCTGACTGTGGAGAAAAATCAAGGGTTTGCTCAATAAAACGCCATAAAACTAAAACTAAAATTGGCTTTCCCAATATGAGAAGTGATTATAATAACTCTTTATTTTTTAATAATCTTTTTAGTTTGGAGCTTAAAATGTAAGTGAAAATTAATCAAATTTATGTTCAAATTAGGCATCAAAAATAAATGAATTAAAATAAATAAGTGAATATTAGGCATCAAATTAAATTTTTTAATTGAATTACCGACCAGTGTTGTTGTTCTCATCAACTAAAACTATTACATTGTTTTATGATAACTAGAGCCCGACCGATATATCGTTTTGCCGATTTTATTGGGCGATATGAGCCTGTCACAGATATCGGTATCGCCGAATATGCCGACGATATAAAAATTTTTTTTACACCAGATAAAATGCTTGTAAATGGTTTAATTATGTAGTTTGTCCAGCAGAGCGTGCTCCATTGTTTGCTACTGGCTACCTGGATGAAACGCTTTAAAGCTTAAGTGTATGGAATACCATTGAAATTTTGAACGGCCATATCTCCGTAACGGGGCGGCGGATCCACAC